GTTTAGGGTTTCAGTTTATACATCGTGTTCTTGAGTAATCTGTAATAGATTAGGAAAGTGAGAGTGAGTGATTATGTAGTCAGGTTTGAGTTGTATTTGTTGATGTAAACCATCTGTTTCATAGTGAATGAAATGATGATGTTGGGAAGATTTTGTGTTGATTCAGTTTCTTTAGACTCTGTGATGATACTACAAAAATGAAGTCACCCAAGCCCCCAGACGTTTCCGCCGTCTGGTTCGGGGGTGTGACACCTGGTATGATTAGTCAAGGTAATGTTGCGACCTTGCCAGGGTGTCGTTTGCCCCTTATAAGTCATGTTGCTCATAATCATATCCCAATATGATTTGTCAAGGTAACTTTGCGACCATGTCGGGGTGTCGTTTGCGCCTTATAAGTCATGTGAAAAGCTTCATTTTGCTTCTGTTTTAAACAAACTTGTTGCCTATGTATTTAATTCCTTGCTTTTATACCTTGAATTTTCGTAGGTTTTTCACATGTCATGACCTTGGTAATGTATCTTCGTCCATGGTTTCTAGGATATATGAACCATCCCGATTTGCTTAATATATCTTATATGGTCCTTCCCATACTGGTCGTAATTTACCTTGCGGCTCCTGCCGACTTGCCTCATTGTTTCTTAATACTTGTTCTCCGACTTGGAATGACCTGTTGTGGACTCGCTGGTTGTAATGACTCTCAGTTTGCTTCTTGTAATGTTCCTGCCGAATTGCTGCTACTTCTTGCCTCTCCATTGATAGTTCTAGGTTCGTTCTTAACCCGTCGTCATTGGTAGTTTAATCGTAGGTTGTTGCTCTGTCCGAGAGGACAGTTAATTCCAACGGTATTACGGTTTCTGAGTCATACACTAATGTAACGCCCATGTTTCTCGCTAGGCACCGGTTATAAAAGATGTATTTACGTTGGTCGACAATTGTAATCTTTTATGAATAAATAAAAGAGAATTATTTGAGTATATGTGATTTGTGTGTATATAACATTTATATAATAAATAGAGCTAAACTATTTAAAAATAAAAGATTATTTAGGACAAATAATATAAACGAAAGTCGTAGTAATCGTAAAAGTGAACTCATACATATAAAGAACGCCTAAATCTAACTTCATAGAAGTTATGATTTTTCGAAGTTTCAACACAGCTGTGTCAACACAGAAATCGAAATTAAAATCGATTTGTTGATTATTTGGCATGAAATAATTAAACAACTAAAGAGAGATTTGTTTATAAATGTTAAAACTGATTATTATGACTTCAAGTCACAATTAATAATCAAATAATTCATTGTAAAATGCACATTTAAACTTGTTATGACTTCTGTAGTTTAAATTATGAGATTTTAGATTTCTTGTTAGAAGTTGTTAAAGCACGTCTAAACACCTTTATGCATTTATCTTTTGTAATTAATGATAAAGTCGAACTCAAGTGATTTTCAATTATAATGAAAAAATAAATATTCCAAACCAGTTGAAAATAAAGCAAAAATCATCAAGTATTAAATTAAGCTACATAAAGAGTTATCAAAACGATAGTTCAAGACATGTATTCAAATGTAAAGATCATAAAAGATGTTTTAAAACAATTCTTTTAGGGGTTCAAGCGACAACGTTAACAACTTAACATCAAGGTAACACACGAATAGTATGGAATCTAAAATGTAATATATAAACTTATATTAATGAATAATTGTTAAGATCAAGGCTAAATATCTGTACAATGTTCAATAAAAGAGAATTAAATCAGAGAATGAAATAAAACTAATTTAATTCGATGAATAATCAACTCTCCAAACCCGCAAAACCACCGGCTTTCATCATTTGCTTGAACTCTTTAAAGTTAACCATTCCATCACCATCTTCATCGACCTTCTTGATCATGAGCCTACACTCCTCAACGGTTCGACCTTGCCTTAACCCGAGAGAGCCCAATACAGATCTAAGCTCTTCCACAGTGATGAACCCGTCCCTATTTTGATCAAACACATTAAACGCCTCTCTCATATCCTCTTCCTCATCCCTCTCCCCTAATATCGTCTGATAAAGCTCACCAAACTCTTCCATGTCAACAAACCCATCCTTATTGACATCGATTTTTTCAATCATTTGGGCAAGATCATCATCTGGTATATATATCCCAAGGTTTTCTAGAGAGTTTGCTAGTTCTTGCCTTGTGATCTTTCCATCACCATTGCGATCAAACATTTGGAAAACACGACGTAGTTCAGCTGGATCCATCTTGGATGGAAATAACACGTTAATTAAATTGTGTTGAACGTGTTTAACGATTTATAAGAGCAATTATTAACGACCAAAGGGGAAAGAGAGGGATTAACAAAGATAAGTATGGTTTACCAAGAACATAATTATGATATAAAAAGTTACGGGGTAAGAAAAAAAGAGAAGAAAAATATGCCAAAATGGTTACAAAGGTAGAGTAGAGGGTTTATTGAGGAGGAATTGGTAACACTGACGGGGTTTGTGGTTGAGAGTAAAGTAAGGAGAAAATATATGAGGGACAATTTGTGGACATCCTCGAATTTCGTTAAATGTTATTTTGTTTGTTTGGTAAATAATATTGTAGTCAATTTGCTATTTTCAAAATTTCATACTCAACAAAAAGAATTTAGAATAAATTACAGTTTTGGTGCCTGTGGTATGCATTTATCTGTAGCTTTGATCATGGTTTTGAAAAATTGATGTCAATGATCCTTGCAATTAAAAAATTCATCACGGTTGGTTATCCTTTGTCCAGTTTCCGTTAATCCATATTCGTTAAATACTTTTAAACTGACCATTATACATCTCCTTTTGTCTTTTAAGTTATTTTGTTATTTTATAAAGTTAAGGGGTATCTATGTTATTTACATGAAAAATAGAATTGAGGGGTCATTTCTGTTATTTACGTAAAAAAAAAACATAAACTCTAAATTCTTCCTTTCAGCCCTCATCAAATCGGACGATCACCGGGGGGGGGGGGGACGACATGACGGAAATAATATGATTAGAATAGAATTATACCTGAATGTTGCGTCGGAATGGATTGACGATGGATTGTTTGGGTATGATTATATGAATATGTTTGGATAAGGCTCTACTATTCAGAAATAGACAAACTATTTCAACAGAAGAAGATTGAGATCAACTCAAGTCTTAAAACACTCAAACT